CTGAATGGGGAACAACGTCGGGAGGGGGTCGGGGAGACAGAAGACGCGGGTTCGGGGGACTCGGGTTGGCCTCACGGGGCCATCATGAAAATGGCGAGACCCAGTCTGAACTTTGACGCCACGAAAACCGGACCGTCCAAGCCCAAGACGCGCTCGTCAAAAAGCGTCGGCAAACCCGCATTCCGGCTTACTCGAGTCTCGCGCTTCCCCGAGGGGGGGGCGGGAGCCGGCGCAGACGGGGAAGCATCGAGCTTGAATCGGCGAGGTGCCGCCGAGAGATCGGCGCTGGGCCCCCGACAGCAGAGCCGCACAACCCTGGGCGGGGCGGGCTCTGTTGGGCCCCATCGGCGTCGCATGTGCGATTGGAGGCCCATGTGCCTCCTCCTCCTCCTCCTCCTCCTCCTCCTCCTCCTCCTCCTCCTCCTCCTCCTCGTCCTCCTCCTCCTCCTCCTCCTCCTCCTCTTCCTCCTCCTCCTCCTCCTCCTCCTCCTCCTCCTCCTCCTCCTCCTCCCCCGAGCCCACTCCCCGTCCGCGGCAATTTTCGGGCCACGACTCGAGGCGCTGGCGGCCGTTCGGGAAGAGCCGGGCACCCCCAGAGCGCCCTCTCGCCTTGCTCGTGGGGCGGGCTGGGCCCCTCCCCCTCGCCCGCAAGCTCGCTCGCACCCTCCTCCCCCCCCCTCCCTCCCCGGCCGCTCGCTCGCTGCCGCTGGCGAGCACCCCGAGGCAGAAAAACCCATGAGAACCGACAGACACGCACGAATATCTCGAAGCTCGAACTGACGAAAACCGACGAGAACCGACGTAAAACGCCCAGAAACCCATGAGAACCAGCGAAAACGCCCGAACATCTCGAGCCTGGAACGGACGAGAAAGCCGACGAGAACCGACGAAAAACCCATGAGGACACCGACGAAAACCCACGAAAACACCCTCGAACCTCGAGCCTCGAATCGACGAGAACCGACGAGAGCCGGCGGAAACCCACGAGGACCGACGAAAAGCGCCCGCAGAGGCCCGAAAGCCTCGAGCCTCGAGGCCCCTCGGTGCCCCGCGAGCTCCGAGGCGGCGGCCTCGCAGCTCCGCGGCGAGGCCTCCGCGGCCGGGCCCCCCTCGCAGCCGCCGCGCCGCGGCGCCTTCGCCGGCGACGCGGCGGGGGCCGCGCCGCGGGCCGCCGCCGCCGTCGAGTTGAAGGCGCCGAGCAGGTCGCGGCGCATGCCTCGGGGCAGGATCAACCAGCATCGAGTCGGAAAACTCAATCGCCATGCTCGTCGCATCGCGCTACATCGGCACCGAGCCGGAGTCGGCTCGAGTCGGCGGCGCCAGGATGCTGAACAGCGCCATGCAAGCATCGGGGCGCATCTGATCGTCGGAATTCGGAGTCGAATCGGATCGGGCCAGCCAAAATCGGCATCGAATCGGATCGATCGGATCGAAATGGACACTGTCGGGGCGGAGGAGGACGGCAACCCTGAGACCCGACAATCAGATTCCCTGGTAGTGTTCCTCGTGCCAGCATTGAAATCAAGGATGCGCGATAAGGACGCAAGCCCCATCAACACCTATGTCGAAGCCTCTCGAGCGGGACTGGCGGGCAAAAGTGCTTAAGGATAGACCGAAGAGGCAAGGATGCAAGGGTACCCTTGGGAAGTTAGCCACCCGTATCATCGATGTCGACTGTAGTGGGGGTTGGAGAGGGCCACACAGAAGCCCGACGGGGGGTACGGGGAGTCCTACAGGACGCCGTTCCCAGACGGCCACTTCAGCCTCAAGGTAACGATGCTCGAGGGGAGAGGGGGGAGGAGGGAAGGGAGAAGGGGGAGGGGGAGGGGGGAGGAGGAGGAGGAGGAGGGAGGAGGAGGAGGAGGAGGAGGAGGGGAGGGGGAAGGAGGGGAGGACGAGGAGGAGGAGGAGGAGGAGGGAGGAGGAGGAGAAGGAGCGTGAGGAAGAGAAGGAGGAGGAGGAGGACCAGAAGGAGAGGGGGAAGACGTGTCCACGCGTAGGCGCTGCTTCGGACCGATGGGGCCCCCATTGGGTGCCCCGCCCTCGAGATCACCCGCCCGAGGGCCTCCCGGAGGGCCCTCGCGGCTGCGGCCAGGCCCGCCCTCGGCGAGTCCTGGCTGGAGCGGACCCCTTGGAGAGGCCCGGGGAGCGGCAGCGTCGGCACCCAGAGGTCCGACGTCTTGGCTCTTCGATACCGGGGGCGTCCAGGGAGGGGGCGTCCAGGAGGGGGGCGGGTTCAGTGGGAGGAGCGTCCAGGGGGGGCGTGATGACCAGAGGGGGGGAGACATCATGGTGGGAGCAACGACATCTCCCCAGGTTTCATGGCGCCTCTTCTCATTTCAATGCGTCCCCTGGCACCCCCCCGCCTGGGGCCCCGCACATGCCTCAGGCCCGAGTCACGTGCGTGGCCCAGGGGTGGGGCCAAGGTCAGGTCAGGTCAGAAGCGGTGCATCTGTGAGACGCGTTAGCAGAAGCAACGGGATCGCTATTGAAATAAGAAGAGGCGCCATTAAATCTGGGGCGACATCTTGGCCCCCGCCACTTTTCCAAACACACACACACACACTCACACACCCTAGTCATCACCCCCCCTCCTGGCCGCCCCCGACAAAATGGAGTCCCTGGAAATGCTGGGACCCCTTCCACGAGGCATGTTCTTCATCCCGGCGTCGTTTTTCGAACCACGTTCCTGGGGTCCGGCGAGGGCCCCCGAGGCCAACAGCAAGAAGAAAACGCCGTTTTGATATTGTCAACTCTTTGGATGTCTGATATCTCGTAGACGGACAAACACAGCCGTATCCACAGCCTCGCGCCCCTGGGCCCCTGGGCCGCGACCCGGCGGATACGGAGCGCTCTTTCGCGGATGCCCCGCGCGGAGCGCATCCGTGCGACCGCGCATCCGCGCCCCTGGAATCCAGACCCCGAGAGCGCGGAATCCTTCTCGGCTGCCCCCGGCGGTGCCCGCGGCGGCCGCGAGCGGGCTCGCGGCGGGGCTGCCGGCAGGGCTGCCGGCGGGGCTGGGCGCGGCGGTGGAGGCCGCTGGGCTGAACCTGGAAGGGGCGGCGTCGTGCGCACGGAAGTCAATTGTGCACCACCGCCGTGGGGGGCCAGGGGTCCTCCTGGGCCCTGGCATCCCAAAGATCCTGGCGCTGCATCTATCTTGTGTTCACGACGGGCGGCGTTTGCGCCCGGCTTTCGGGCCCCGTGGCCCTGGCGGGTCGATCCGGCTCTGCGCGTATGTGTTCTACGATGCTGCATTTTTTTCGCGACGTCAAATCTCGGGGGGTGGTGCCCTCCTGGACCTCGGCATGGCGTATACGCTGAGACCTGGGCGTTGCACATCCTACTGCCCCTCTGGGCGTAGTTGGTGGAACGATAGATGTTTACTCTTCCAAAACCCTCTTCCCCTTCGGGGAAGGGGAACCGCCCCTCCCCTCCCCGAGGTTTTTCGGCCCCACCGCCATGTGTCAGAGGGCTATTCTTGGCCCATGATGGTTCCAAAAAGGTTTTCGATGCTTCAAGGCGGCCTCCAGGATAGCTCAACATAGATGGGGATGGTTCCAGATGGCCTCCATCATGCCTCAAAGATGCCTCAAGAGAGCGACAAGAGGGTTCAAAGTGCTCTCAGAGCCCTCACTACCTGAGAGAGATCAGAAACTCTTGCCTTCTCACCTTTTCGCTTCCGATGGGCTTCTGAAGCCTCAAAATGGCCGCAAGACAGCCCAAGACAGCCACAAGAGGAACCCAAGATGCCCCAAAGACGGCCCCAAGAGAGCACAAGATCGCCCCAAGAGAGCCACAAGAAGCAATTCGAATGGTCCCAGAGGGGGAAGAAGAAATTGAGAACCTCCCCTCTTGTGATCGACGCCCTCCAAGATGGCCCCAATGGGTTTTTGTTCAAGGTTTCCAAGAAGCACTAAGAGGGCCCAAAGAGGAACCAAACGGGGCCTCAATACCCTCCAACAACCCCAAGAGAGCCCCGAGAGTCCACCAATTTTGGTCTCCCTGATTCACGATATGTTTACCTACGCCCCTCCTCCGTATAACCCCCCTGGGCAATATTTCCGGATGGGATGGTGGGGATTTGTTGGTTCGCGGGCAAAACTGGGGCGGGACACGCCGAAGCAAAGAAAAAAGCAGCACGGAGCAACGCCCGGCTTAGAAGCGGGCTCAGCGCCCAATAGGAAGGACGCAGGAAAGGACGCGAGTGCGAAACGGCGTGGAAGAGCGACGCCACGCCCTGAAGGCGACGCCCCAAGAGCGCGCCGAAGAAAGGAACCGAGAGCGCCAAGAATACCCAGCATAAGGTGGTGATCAGGGGAGAGAAAAAGGCATTCATCGGCCTGTGCCCCAGGGAACTTGCCGAACACAAAGTCCAGGACCTAGAAGGTCTTCACGACGCGGAACGAGCAAACGAGGAGGAGCAGCGCGAACGACCCCGAGACAGGCGCGAACAACGCAGCAGCCGCGAAGCGAGTGCCGAGGAGGTGAACGGCCTCCAAGTCACCAAGTCCAGCACGTAGACGAACGGCGACACGCGGGGAGGGCCAGCACCGAGCAGATGCGGAAGACGGTCGGGCCACGGCCGCCCCGCGCCCTCCACCAAGCAGGCCAGAGGCCCCGGACAGGGGCGAACGCAGACCCGGGGAGAAGCCGAGCAGCGCGAGCAGCCGTCAGGGCGCCCCACGCGCCGAGACCCAGAGGCAGCTGCGCGGGCCGGCACGACGACGCCGCGCAAGAAGGCGCCCCCCGGCGACCGCGAGCACGCGGCGCCCGGCAGACGAGCGCAGCGCCACCGCAGCGGCATCCCACGCGGGAGCGCGGCGGGCAGCTGGCAGCCCGGCAGCCAGCAGCCCGCAACGAACCGCATCGACACCCAGGGCCGAGGACACCGCCGAACCTGAGCTTCACCAGGGAGACAACGCGACGAACGCCTTCAGCGAGCGGGGGGGGTCCCCGACTTAAACAGCAGCGCGCCCGCGCCGAACATAATCACCATG